ATGAAGAAGAATCCCCTAGAATCAAACAACACGCGAGAAAACCCCAAGATACCTGTCAACCAAGACCTGTCGACAGTGCGCCCCAAGACCTGTCAACAGCGCGCCCAAGACCTGTCGACAGTGCGCCCCAAGACCTGTCAACAGCGCGCCCAAGACCTGTCGACAGCGCGCCCCAAGACCTGTCGACAGCGCGCCCCAAGACCTGTCGACAGCGCGCCCCAAGACCTGTCGACAGCGCGCCCCAAGACCTGTCGACAGCGCGCCCCAAGACCTGTCGACAGCGCGCCCCAAGACCTGTCGACAGCGCGCCCCAAGACCTGTCAACAGCGCGCCCAAAACCTGTCAACAGCCCGCCCAAGACCTGTCGACAGCGCGCCCCAAGACCTGTCGACAGCGCGCCCCAAGACCTGTCAACAGCGCGCCCAAGACCTGTCGACAGCGCGCCCCAAGACCTGTCAACAGCGCGCCCAAGACCTGTCGACAGCGCGCCCCAAGACCTGTCAACAGCGCGCCCAAGACCTGTCGACAGCGCGGCCCAAGACCTGTCGACAGCGCGCCCCAAGACCTGTCAAACGCGCCCAAAACTTTTCAGCAGCGCGACAGGAATGGTGCTGCTTGAAGCGGCCGCCCGCAGGTCCCTATATCTACTATAGATCAGTTGGTCCAGCATTTGTTTCAGGGTCTTGTCTAATTGTTTCTGGAACACCAGCTCTGTGTTCCAGAACACCAGTACTGGAACACCAGTACTGGAACACCAGCTCTGGTTAGCAAATTGTTTACAAGTTAGTCACTTGTTTACAAGTTAATCACCATATCCAGTACCAGTGTAATATTTCCTTTCTGTCTATCCCTCTATGAACTGTTATCGTAATCCTGGGAGCGAGAGATAGTGCACCCCATACCTATCATGTGAGGGGTTGTGCACCCCATACCCATTCTGTGAGGGGTTGTGCACCCCATACCCATCCTGTGAGGGGTTGTGCACCCCATACCCATCCTGTGAGGGGGTTGTGCACCCCATACCCATCCTGTGAGGGGGTTGTGCACCCCATACCCATCCTGTGAGGGGGTTGTGCACCCATACCCATCCTGTGAGGGGGTTGTGCACCCCATACCCATCCTGTGAGGGGGTTGTGCACCCCATACCCATCCTGTGAGGAGGTTGTGCACCCCATACCCATCCTGTGAGGGGGTTGTGCACCCCATACCCATCCTGTGAGGGGTTGTGCACCCCATACCCATCCTGTGAGGGGTTGTGCACCCCATACCCATCCTGTGAGGGGGTTGTGCACCCCATACCCATCCTGTGAGGAGGTTGTGCACCCCATACCCATCCTGTGAGGGGGTTGTGCACCCCATACCCATCCTGTGAGGGGAAGTGCACCCCCATACCCATCCTGTGAGGCGTTGTGCACCCCATACCCATCCTGTGAGGGGGTTGTGCACCCCATACCGATCATGTGAGGGGAAGTGCACCCCATACCCATCCTGTGAGGGGAAGTGCACCCCCATACCCATCATGTAAGGGGTTGTGCACCCCATACCCATTCTGTGAGGGGAAGTGCACCCCCATACCCATTCTGTGAGGGGTTATGCACCCCATACCCATCCTGTGAGGGGTTGTGCACCCCATACCCATCCTGTCGGTAGCAGTAGAAAGGATTACATAAGGGGTCCATGAACTTAATCCCAATGTTGCATTCACTAAGACATTTATGTTTGTATACTGTTTACAATTTTGATTGTCTAACTTTTGTAATAAAGTTACAAGGGTGGTGATGTAATTACAGTAATACAGTAGATACGACAAGCTTACAGTGTGGGTAGTGTCTACAAGGCAATTGTCACCAGTTTTTTTCTGAATCAGGTCTAACTGAGTTGAAACAGATAGTTAACAGTTATTAAGAACATAAGAATAAAGGTAACTGCAGAAGGCCTATTGGCCCATACGAGGCAGCTCCTATCTATAACCCCCCAATATTCCAAACTGTTATAACAGTTTAACAGATATAAACAGTTATTCCATGACTGTTTCCAGTCATGGAATAATACCCAAGTATTATAAATAAGGACTCAGACAGACAGACAGACAGACAGACAGACAGACAGACAGACAGACAGACAGACACACTGACTGACTGACATTCACTAAGAGAAAATAGACAATGGCGACTGACACAGTGATCGGAAAAGTTAAAATAGAGCATAATCTTTTCACTCGCCAGGCCCTCCGTCACTGTTGATATTCTGATTCTCAGCAAAATCGGTAATTTGGCAATTAAGGCCATTTTCGAGCGGGGCAAAAAAAAAAAGAAAGGCAATATCAGCCTTATGGTAAGTCTCCACAAGACCTGAAACATCAACTTCCCTCTGGTGCAATATTTATAGAATAAGAAAATCGGTTGAGTGAGTGATCAAGCAGGTCCGTCCCCCCCCCCCCCTTCCTCACAAGGTCCTCCTCACAAGGTCCTCCTCACAAGGTCCTCCTCACAAGGTCCTCCTCACAAGGTCCCTCGTCTATTCAGATAATTCATACCGATAGACTACGCCTAAAAATTATGATGAATAGTTAGTGAAATTGTGACAAATTTCATACAATTTGTATGAAATTCTATCATACAACCGAACCGGTTGTATGATATTATGTACTAGTGGCTGTACATTCTTGTACAGCAACTAGTACGCGTAGCGTTTCGGGCAGGTCCCTGGAATACGATCCCCGCCGCGAAGAATCGTTGTTACAACCAAGTTCCCATTTTACTGTTGAGTTAAACAGAGGCTACAGTTAAGGATTTGCGCCCAGTAAATCCTCCCCGGCCAGGATACGAACCCATGACAAAGCGCTCGCGGAACGCCAGGCGAGTGTCTTACCACTGCACCACGGAGACTGGTGTAGCGGTAAGAGATCTGTCTGCATATACCTCCCGTCTCTCCCTCAATATTTCTTGCCTGTCTGTCTGTCTCTCTCAATACTGGATAGATACTTTCTGTATCTATCCAGCCCGTTCCCGCGAGCGTTCCCTTCGTTAAGAAACTAGCGTACTAAAGTGCCTTGTTCTAACCTGCCAGAGGACCCAAAACAGAAAACGGGACATTATGTCACTTTCTCGAGCCGCTACCATTTTCTTCAACGACAGTTTTTTTGGCCTTAAAGTATACATCAAAATGCGACGTGCTGTTAGAAGGACGGGTTCTCTAGTTCTCTCAATACTTCCTATCTGTCTGTCTGTCTGTTGCAAACTTCACTTCAGTTCTCTTCTTTTATTTTTGGCCTCTCAGCGTTTCTATATGTTATTTCAATTACACCCAAGCAACAGCCTGGTGGACCAAACTCTCACAAGTCAAGCCTGGCCTCGGGGAGTAGAAGAACTCCCAGAACCCCATCAACCAGGTATCAACCAGGTATCATCTATTTTCGCTATTCTCAATTATTGTTTCCTTATTTCCGATTTCCTTATTCTTTTTTTTTATCTTCACCTCCCATTTCATGCAATCTTCTTTTCCCCTTCCTCTCTCTTAATCTCTCTTCTGTACCCTTGCCATCTCTCTTCATCCTTTCCCATTATTTTTCTCCTTAGTGTGTTCCGCCTCCATTCCTGTCACTCAGTCTCCCTTTCCTACCCATCACTATTTCTTCCGTCCTCATAAACCACCCCCACTCCAATTTCTATCTCTCTCTCTCTCATTCCCCCGTTTCTCTAGAAATGGAAAAGGAGTGGGAAGGGTCCCGAGACCAAACGGCACAGGAGAGATTTCGGCCATTTGTGTTTACCGTGGGTGGAGCAAGAGAGCACATCCATCTCCCAGAGTTATAGAGGCTCCCACGTACACACCAACGCTTCGTGGGAGGGGAGATGGAGCGAGGGGAAGGAGAGGAGGGGATGGGGATGGAGGGAGGGGAGGGGGATGGAGGGAGGGGAGGGGTGATGGAGGGAGGGGAAGGAGGGGAGAGTGTGGTACCGGCCTTCGAGTGGGCAGTGAGAGGGCGCGTTCCAGCCAGATAACGTGAAGGAAATGAGAGGGAAGTCGGCACGCATGGACCAGGAGGGAAGGGGAAATAGAGGGGTTGAGGGAGGCAACGTAGAGGGGTGAATGAGAAGGAGGTGGGGAGGAAAAAGAGGAGATGGAGAGATAGAGGAGGAGGAGGATAGGGTGAGGGGTTGGAGGAACGAATGAGGGGGAGTGGGAGGAAGTAGACACAGAGTAAGAGAAACAGAGGGAGGGAGGGAGGGAGGAGGGGGGGGGGAGGACACACAAATACGGAAGAACAAAAATAAATCGGAATTGAAAATCAAGAAACATAGAAAGATCAAAAGAAGGTGAGAGGCAGAAAGTCAGGTGAAGGAAGAAGGAGGGAAACAGTAGGAGGAAACAGGTAAAGCAAAGGAGGCAGTAGATTAAAGAAGAGAGAGACATTCACCAGATAAACGACGGAAGGCGATAAAAAAAAAAACAGAAAAAATAAATGATTAAACGAGCTCTTAACTTAATCATTCAGACATTAATAATGTAATTACTTACAGAGGGGAGGGAAGGAATTATCAAGGGAAAGCGCCAAGCCATTACGACAATACAGCACTTGAAAGGGTCAGGATAAGGATTAGGGATGGGACGAAGGAAAGGAATGGTGCCTAACCATCAGGATGGTCGGGGATTGAACGCCGACCTGCAAGAAGCGAGACCGTTGCTCTACCGTCCAGTCCATGTGGAGTAATTACCGAGTAATTATTGAGTAATTAAGGAGACAGAGACATCTGTTGAGGACAACATCAGCTTGCCACTCCTATGCCACAAAACCAGTGACGTACAAACCCAAGCAACCCGCCTAACCTATCACGGCAGATGTTTAGAAAACGTCACTATTACGGTGCTTTAATTTTTACTAATACGTCGCTATTTAACGGACTGGTCGATTCCGTAAACAAATTTGCGAGGCAGTGAAAGGGTTTATCAGAGATTTTAACAGGTGTTAAGAAGAGTGTCATTGAAGTAAATTCTACTTAATGCTTCAAAAGTAAATATAATTTAGGACACTTCAAGGAACCAACAGATGGCTGGAAAGGCGGGACTTAATAGCTGAAGCTCGGTCCTGTAACCACATCTAGTTAAGCAAACAACACACACACACACACACACACACACACACACACACACACACACACACACACA